GGCATATTAGTCCAAGAAGAGAAGGCATAAGATTGTATGAGATAAATAGTCCCTGATATACAAGCAGGACTTATCCATGGACAATGACAGGCTAATGCATTTTGGAGACACACAGCAGAAGTGCTTGAATCTGAAAGCATCTGCATGTGCTGTGCTGGCCATTCCCAGGTCAGAGAGAATCTGCATCTTGCAGAAATCAGGGCTCTCTATCTGCCTGATCCAGATTTAAACATCTGCTCTTCACAAAGGAAGTGAGAAGGAGAAAGATGAACAATATGGTGAGGACGAAAGGTCCTTGATGCACATGGTGATGTACAAACTGCACTTGTACTGCCATAGCTGAGAGAGCTTGGAAAGCATATTTCAGGTAAGATGCAAGTGTCTGCTCTAACCTCACTAGGTTCACATGGACATTCACAAAACTTCCTCTGGGAGGTGGTTTCATTGATACTACACAGACATTAGTTCTGCCTGGCTAGGAAGGGGATTAAAAGATTAAAAGGACAACCAGAGTCCATAAGTTTTTAGATTTCAGACATTCCTAGAGCAAGAATTCAGAAGCTGGTCTCAAAATTAAAACACAAAAAGCCCAAGGGTCAAAGATGAAAACACTTCCCAGAAATATGGAAGGCATGCATTAGCTGTAGTTTGTGAAAAGTCACCTGGATCTCTCTATTCTCTTAGCTTAAAAGACAGAATTTTTTGCACGATTCATGACCTGTCTTTTGTTGGGAGCGGGAAAAGATAGCTGTAGCCTGGAAGACTGATTTGAGAGAAGTGCCCAACACCAGTTCTGGCCCCAGCTGGCAGCACTGTAAGCCGGAGTGGCAGGAGGCTGCCAGATGCCTGCAGAGCCATGCGAGGCAGCCGTGCTGTGCAGAAACAATAAAAATGCATTTGCAAAATGAAGTCCTGTGTTTCATTGCCGTTGTTTACCAGGGCATGACGCTATTCCTATCTAAAGGATGAAAACCTGGACTGGGCTCTTCGCAGCCTTGATAATTGCCTTTTTGTGGAACAACACCCTGGGCAGAACCATTCAGACATCAGCTGTCCAGTCAGCCTCTGCTAGGGCCAAGCAGAAAAACAAACTCAAACCCAGAACCAAGGCATCTAGCCTGTTTTTCAGTTTCCACTTGGGCACAGGTGTTTGCCTTTTCCTCTTGCCAGTTGCCAAAAGGACAACAACAACCCATCCAATCAGCATGTTAGTACATTATTTAACATCTGTCCTTCCAAGAGTCTTATTCTGAGACACCTAAGTTAGGTCCTCCTTCACAGTCATTTCAGCAGGGTCAGGGCATGGAGCATTCCACAGGCATTGGGCCAGCTGGCTCCTGAAGCCCAGCAGTGGAGCTGGTTGTGGGTCACACTGGATGTGACCGCTCCTCTGGGATGCAACAAGGATGCGCTTACCTGACTACATGCCTGAAAGTTAAGTGCTGGAATGGCTGCACACCAGCTACCTCGCAACTGTTCTGAGTCACAGCAACCTGTTGACATCTCTTCAGAGCCAACCAAACTCATAAGCATTAAATCAAAAATCAGTAGCTCTCAGCCCACTACCAGCCAGATCAGAGTTCAGATAAAAAGCCACTCTGGCAATCTTTAATATCTTTCAATCCAAGTTCATCTAAATTTGACACACGGTTCTGCCTGGGAAAGCAGATACATACGATTGTTTCAATCTGCTTGGCCTTTCTGGTGAGTACTCTTTCTCTTTCTCTCTTCCCTCCCCCTTCCTCCCCCCTGCCTCTCTACAAGTGTACACAGACAGTGATCTGAGAGTGTGCAAGAGAAAATGCTTTACTTTTTCCTGAAAGCCCTGTGCCGAGGGTGGTGTTTCCCCACCTCCACGCTGCTGACAAACGCTGATGTAAACACCATGAATATGCCTGTCTAAAAGGCCACAGGGGTTTTCACGTGAATCCTGCGTTTTTTCCACAAAACCCATTACACTGTACTTCAGCTTAAAATATATCTCCTTGTTTCTGGTTAACCTACAACTCCTCTAAGGCTAATACAGTTTACAGGCAAAACGACTCAACAGAACCAAATTTGGAATATAGATACAAAATCCTTTCAAGAAATGGTTGCTACTATGGCAGTATTAAAATCAGAAAAACCAATACTGACACAAAAAACGTTAAAAAAAAAAAAACAGCCATGCCTTCAGTGTTGACAGGAGTAAAATATGTCATTTACAATGCCACTGAAAACATAACAGGAAGGAAGTAGACCTCAGAAACTATAAACAGAATTTAAGAGAGGTAGGAAGTACCTCAAATGCTTTCACATAGTGACTGTAAAAAAAATACTGAAAGGAGAAAATGTTTCCAGGGTTTTTTTTCTTGTTTGCTCTTTGTTTTTTTCCCCACTTTAGGTATTCATAGTTATTTTGAACAGTAAGAAATGATCACAAAAGTAAATGCAGCTTTAAGTTGCAAAACAATGTATGGTACAAATAACAGCCTGATTTTCCTTCCATTCACCCCCCTGCACCATTCCTCCAAGCAAGCTGTGTTTGGCCAGAAATTAGATGGTGCTCTTTCTCTCCCTCGCTCCCTCTCTCCCCACAGCTGCTGGCTTTAAATTGTGCTACTTCAAGGAAAATAATTAAAAGTGCATTCCAAAGCCAAGAACTATAATGCACCTTGATATTTAATAGGAGTCTGCACAAAAAGAGAAAATATTCTCCCCTCCATCTTCATACACTTTACAGATCTCATAACTGTATTGCTCTGTAAGCTCTTGCACACAAAAAAAACCCTCTCAGGACCCTGATTTCCAACAAAGAGGGGCTACCTGGTAAACTCCCTCCAGTTTGCAACTTCACTACTTCAGTTCACTTTACCATCCTCCTTCTCACTGTTTCCTAGCTTTATGAACTTTAAAGTGCACTGGAAACTCCTAACAATCAGGAACTAAGTGGCAGTCAGAGGATCCCCGCATGCTGGGCTGGGCAGGAGAGTACCAGCCTGGTCCCCAGCCCCAGAAGCCCAGGAGGGGCAGGGACAGAGCATGGCAGCACCAGCTCCCCAGCTGCAGGGACTCTGCTGCACTCTTCATGGACCTGGAAACCAACAGCCGAAGGGGAACCTCCCTATTTTCCCTTTTTCTGCTACCTGTGGCTAATATTGCAGACATTTCCGTAAGCAAAAATCCTTACCTTTTGACCTTTGCCTGCACTTTTGGCTCAGAACAGAGTTCCCCATAGACAGCAAGCAGCACTGCCCAGGTTCACAGTGCAGAGCCACAGGTGTTAGATTTGTCCCACTATGAAAACAATACATACGCACCGAGTTGGTAGGGAAATAGAAATTTATTCCAAGACGTGAGCTGAAGCAATGAGCATATGAAGCAACAACCACTAGAAAAAAAGTGAAAAACACATCAAATATCTGTATTGTACCCGTTAAGTTTGAACACAAAAGTCCCTTTCAGTAAATGTATGCACAGAACAAAAGCACATGCAAAAAATCTCAGATGGTCACCTAGAGCATTGCTTTTAATGTCTAAGAAAGAGGTCTCCTCTACAAAAATGTTTAAGCCAGGAAAAAAAACCCCTTCAAGTAACAAAGTAGAAATGATGTGTTCATTCTGCTTGGCACTGTGGAGAAGGAGGGGGATAATATATCCCAAAAAAGTATGCATCTTTAAGATGTATAAATTCAAAGTCCCTAACACAAGTCTGCTGCCAGACCAAGTACCGTTTTTTCTTCCTCATTTAGGAAGTCAAGTGAAGTATGTCTGCTAAGCACAGGGGGATCATGTTCTGGAGTGAAAGCTGCTAAGACCACATGGTCTGCCTGCCAGCAAGGAAACTTCACTGACACACACACCCAACAGACCTCTTTGTCTCTCTAACAGCACCCTACCACTGAAAACTGCAAACTGCATCAAATTCTGCGAACATTCAAACAAGTATTTCCTTGACTGCCTTAGTACAGAAGGCCAAGTGCTGCTCACCTTGAGCTCTCCCTTCACATTCATTTCAGTACCACTGGAAGAAAGCTGTAAGTGCACACAAACAGCACAGTTGGCTCTGTGTAAGTCAGAGGTGGTGGCTATTTTAACCTGGCTTATGTATGTGACATCAGAAAGGGGTAGCTGGACTATTTATGTGCTATTTGCAAGCTTTGCCAACTTAATTCTAACACATACATATATACACACGTATATATGTGTATGTATAATGCATGCATTGTAGCTTACAATTATAAGAAAAATGCAATTTATTTATAAACCTGCTCTTTGGGACTCTAAAATTTTAGCGGCTAATCCACTAAATTCACAGGTAACATGAGTTGATCGTCACTTTTCTTAACACAGTACCATAAATGCATTACTTTAGAGACTGCTATCATGGAGGCTAATCCAATAACAACAATGGCAGCAACAAAATTCCTTATCAGGACAAGTGTCAGTCAGGCATTAAAAAAATACGTCTCTGAAGAATTACATTGTTTTCAAAAAATACACTGAAATATTCTATACAAGAATATAGGCCTCACACTTACGAATCTAAATTTATAACCACTTACATGTATCAGCTATTCTCAATAAACCATCTACATTTGCTACCCACCTACAGTAGCTACAGTTTCAGACTGGGAACACCGCAAATTTATGAACTTTCCCTGAGATCAGTAATCCAAAATAAATAGCCCTGCAAAGGTAACAGTGTAAACTCTGGATTTAAGTCTTCGGTAAGGATCAGTCCTCAAAAGCCAAGAAAAACATTAAGCAAACGTAAACACAGCAATCATTTTGTCAGTTTCGAGTTAATTCCCAGCGACAGTGGAGCCCCATGCGAGACGTAGCATCCAAATGTTGAAGACCCGTCAATTTTATTGTACAATACAGTTGTCCTAGTTGCCTATCATTGTACCACTGAACGCATCCAGCAGGGATTATGGATCTCCAAATCGTGACCCAGATCTGCTCTTCCACTCTGCACAATCTTTACAGTGCCTTTAAAACCACTCCTCCTCAGGTTCTTACTCTTGAATAGAGGAATGGCGAATAGATCTGTGATAATCCTCTGGACTAGTCACAAGTTCTGGCAAATCATAGCCTCTCAGCAGATGTCCACTGTTTTGTTGAGCAAAGTAATACAGCTGCCTGGCAAACATTGGTTCAACCTTAAGAACAGACAAAATGTTAATCAGACATGAGACAAAATTTCATGCTCCTCATCTTAGTTATTCAGGGTGGTTTTAAGTTAAAAACAAGATGGGGCAGAACAGTTCTGCTTACTAGAATGGGAATAGAATATCAGTGGTTTCACTAGTCTCTGTTCTAAACTAGGTCTTGCCTAGCCTAGCCTAGCTCTGCTGCCAAATGTTTCACTACCTGCACACACTCCTTACCTTCATCACCTTTATTATAAGGAACTGCAACAGTGACGAATGATATATCAAAAATTGCAGTCCCTTAGCAGCCCCAGGCTGTGAGCAATGCCCACAGAACACACATGCCCATGGCTGCTCCAATTGTTTAAACATAGGTTGAACATGCCAAAAGTCTTGTTTGCACTGCAAAGTACTTTGAGGACTTAACTTGAAATGTTGGAGCCCTCAGGTAGGCTGAGATATGTCACCAAATGACTGTGTCTGAAGTTAGATTTCAACCTAACATCAAGGTTACTCTTGTTTCTGTTCATTCAAGCTCTGATGAGGAATTTGTTCAACCACCAAGTGGGATTTGTATGAGTTAACACTGCCTTCACTTCTGTCTCTTCAGAAACCACCACTCTG